GTTCCGGCTAGGTGCAGAGACAAAGGATGACCTTGGCTTTCTAGAAAGAATGTTGTTATGGCTACATAGCATCTAACTCTGTACAATCCCCCCTCCTGTTTTCCCACAATAGAAAATGCCTAGTAAAATAATAGAAACTCTGGAAGGCCAAAGACCCAAAGAGGGCTGTAGGCCTGATATTTGGCTGGGGCAGGGGGCTCAAAGGGAGCGAGATCTGAATCCTGCTGAGATTTGGGTGCAGGAGACGGGTGGAGGGGTGGGGTCTCCTGCAGGTGGGGATGCCCCGAGGCTGAGGAGGAGCTCTTTTCTTACGGCTTTTTTTCCTGCCCTCCCCGGGAACCAGGTGTACAAATCGCGCAGGATTGGGCGCATCCTGGCCGTGGACCGGCTGTGCATGGGCGTCCGGCCGGGGGAGTGCTTTGGCTTGTTGGGCGTCAACGGGGCAGGGAAGACCACCACCTTCAAGATGCTGACGGGGGACGAGATCACCACCAACGGCGAGGCCTTCATTAACGGGCACAGGTGCGCCTGGCACGCGGAGGAGGGGGCTGGAGGGTGCTTTAAGGGCCCACCTGTTGCAGAGCTCCCTGGGAATGCTGCGCCCAGAGCTGATTTTTTTTCTTTTTATTCCGTTCTTTTCCCCTGGAATCTCCTGGGAATTTGCTCTCCCTGTCTGAAAATAGACTCATTTGCACACAAAGCAAGAAGGGTGATTCCATAGGCCTGTGGAGCCTCCATGGGCAGGCAGTAGCGTTCTGATTTACTCACTGCAGGGAAGCGCCACCAAAAGAAGGCTGTTTTTTCCCGCTAGCTGTTGGAATCCTGGGCTCATCTTATCTGCTTTCCCCCCTAAATCCATTTGTTCTCTCTTTCATTTTTCACCGCTGTCCAATGAGTCCCGTTGTCTTTGGAAAAGGGCTGCTGAAGCCCCTTTCCTCCCATCCGGCCTTCCTGGAGAGGCTCTGGAGCAGGATGAGCCCCTTGTGCTCAGCCCAGCTCTCCGTTTCCACAGCATCCTGAAGGAGCTTCTGCAGGTCCAGCAGAGTCTGGGATACTGTCCGCAGTTCGACGCCCTTTTTGACGAGCTGACGGCGCAGGAGCACCTGGAGCTCTACACCCGGCTGCGTGGCATCCCGTGGAAGGATGAGGAGCGGGTGAGGCACAGGCAGAAGGACGGGCACTTCCCCCCCCCCCCGGGTTTTCCTGCTTCTGTGTAGACTCGGTGGAACTCACCCCCACAAGACAGAAAGGGCCAAGGGGAACCGCCTCTGCAGGGGCTTCCCGGGACATGTGGCAGAGGCTGGGCAAGGGGGGGCCTTCAGCAGTACCCCCGCGGCTGCTGTTGGGCTGTTCTCTGTGGGTGTGAGACCCTTCTTCCTTCACAACCCAGGTGGTCAAGTGGGCGCTGAAGAAGCTAGAGTTAGATAAATGCGCCAACAAGCCCGCCAGCACCTTTAGCGGCGGCAACAAGAGGAAGCTGTCCACCGCCATTGCGCTGATCGGCTACCCCGCCTTCATTTTCCTGGTGAGGAGCGACAGTGGGGAAGAGTCCCGGCTGGAGGGTTGCGGGGGACGCTTCACTCTTCTGCTCTGATGCCTGGAGTGCCACCCCAGCTGGGCCTAATGCTGCCCCCTGGTCCCCTCCTTTGCAACAGGATGAGCCCACCACGGGCATGGACCCAAAGGCTCGGCGCTTCCTCTGGAACCTTATCTTGGACATCATCAAGACGGGCCGCTCTGTGGTCCTGACCTCACACAGGTAGGCTGGGCATGGTTCCTGAGGTGCCAGGGAAAAGGGTGGGCTGGATGGGGGGAGCTCCACGGGTGTGGGTGAGTAAGGGGGCAGCGGCTGTAGGGCGGCCAAGAGCCGATGGGCGAGCTGTCGTGTGTCCCCTCCCGCATGCCATTTGGGGAGTGGGCATCCTTCCTTCCAGCTGTGCTTCTCTTCTCCCAGCATGGAGGAGTGTGAAGCCCTCTGCACACGGCTGGCCATTATGGTGAACGGGCGACTCAAGTGCCTGGGCAGCATCCAGCACCTGAAGAACCGGTGAGCCCAGGGCACTGGGTGGGCACACCATGGGCTGCTTCCACCGGCGAAACCTGTGGAAGCTCTCAGTGCTGGCCTGGGGGCAAAAGGGTAGCAGACTAAGTGTCCAGTCCTGGAGGAAGTCCTCTTCTGGGCCCTTTGGAGGGAGGGGAAGGAGGGGAGGGCCCTCCCAGCTGCCCCCTCCTAGACGGCAGCTTTATCTTCCTTACCGGAGCCATCCGGCCAGGAGAGCGGCTGTTGCAGGTGCCCCCTCCCCCCCCTTGTTCTGGACAGGTTTGGGGACGGCTACATGATCACCGTCAGGACCAAGTCCAGCCTAAACGTGAAGGAGGTGGCGCAGTTCTTCAGCCGGAACTTCCCGGAGGCCGTCCTCAAGGTTTGGGCAACCGCCGGAGGGAGGGGGGGCTCACCTTGGAGGAGGAGGGGGCACTGACCTTCCCTGCCTTCTCCCCCCCGCTCCCCCAGGAGAGGCACCACACCAAGGTCCAGTACCAGCTGAAGTCGGAGCACATCTCTCTGGCCCAGGTCTTCAGCAAGATGGAGCAGGTGGTGGACGTCCTGGGCATCGAGGACTACTCCGTCAGCCAGACCACGCTGGACAATGTGAGGGGCCACCGGCGTCCCCACTTTCCCTTTGGCCGCCCTCTTCTGTGGCCAGCTCTGTGCTGGCTGCGCTGGCGTCCTTGGCTGGCTGAGGGTGATGGGAAGGCCCCGGATTTCCCCTTTCTGTCCCCACCACCCCAATCCCCGGCCGGGGGAGACGAGTCCTGGGCTCCAGCCTGAGCTGCGGCTTCCTTTGCAGGTGTTTGTGAATTTTGCCAAGAAGCAGAGCGACAACCTGGAGCAGCAGGAGAGCCTCCCGCCCTGCCCCATAGACTCCCCTCTGCAGCGCCTCCTCAGCCTCCTGCGGCCCCGGGGGGCCCCGACAGAGCTGCGCACCATGGTGGGGGAGGAGCCCGAAGATCTGGAAACGGATGATGAGGGGCTGATCAGCTTTGAGGAGGAGAGGGTGAGCCAGGATGCAGCAAGGGAGCTAGCCATGCGGGGGCGGGGGGGCAGGAGGCTGGCAAAGAGGCTTGTGGGGAGGGGGGGAAGCCTCCGGGATGGGGGGGATGCAGCATTTGTTACCTTTCCTCTTTTCTCCTGTCCCTTCTCTCCCCCCCTAGGCCCAGCTCTCCTTCAACACGGACACCCTCTGCTGAAAACGGAGGGGACGCAGCCCCCTCCCTTGGCTGGGCAGCCCCTCGCCCCTTCCCGCTTGGTGGCTGCCATCCTCTCTGCCCAGCGAGTGAGCGGGACGTCCTGAAGGCACCGAGAGGAGGCATTGCCTGAGCCTTTGACCTGGGTGGCCCCCCAGGATGGAGGGGGCCCTATGCTGTTTTGTAGACGGCCAAGGACCGGACACAGCGCAGTCTGGCTGGTTGAGAAGACGTGGGGCGGGGCGCTGATGCAGAGGAGGAACAGCGGCCTCCGTACCCCACTGGAACCCCACAGTTTGGGACATTCGTCCTGGGAGAGACTGCGCTCTGCTGTGCCCCACTGCCTCTCCTGCCGCCCTGGGCCAGATCTGACTGCGGGGGGCAGCTTGCCGTGCTGGAGTGGATAGCTGGGCACCGTCAGCCTTTCCGGCCAAAGGGAAGCAAGAACGCTGAGGGGGGGGGGGGTAGATCCTCCTGGACAAGTCTGGAGATTGCGCCTCCCTCCGTCCTCTTTGCCCCTCCCCCCTCTCTCTCAGCCCAGGAACCAAAGCCCCCTGCCAGCTGCATGAAGGCTCCGGAAGGGCTGGGCATCTGAGCCAGCCTCCCCCCACTCAACCCAAAAGCAGCTCAAGGAAGCGCCTCTGTCTCCTCTAACCAGGCCTGGAGCTTTTTGCTTCCGGATCTCCTTTTTAAAGCCTCAAGTAACACGCCCGGGCTGAGAGCCCCCCCCCTCCCTTCGGCTGTGGGGCAGGAGCTCCCCACTCTTCTGCTTGCGCCCTAACCTGGCATGGCATTAATCGGAGGCCTCCGGTGGGATCGCCAGGGTCTCTCAGGAGCTCTCATTGCACAACGAGTCGCTGCCAGAGGAGATGCCCTTCCAAGGGGAGCCAGGAGGGTCCCCTCCAGCGGCATCTGGAATTGCCCCAGATGTGTGGGACTCTAGATCCCGATGTCCCAGCTGGTGGCTTGGGAAGATTTAGTCTGAAATGCAAGAAATCCAGTCCATGGTGCACCCCATCCGTTCCTGGTGGGGAACGGCAAGCCCCCCCCCCACGCGCCGCTGCGGCACTTGCCCTCTTCTCCCTCCCCCAGCTGTGCACCGACCAGCAGAGAAGCCAAGAGGCCAGCAGGGGCTCCCCCAAATGAAGAGGAGGGGGTGCTGGAAGACCTGGAGGTCTTTGGGACCAGAGCGAGGATGGCAGCTTCTTTGCACGGAAGGAGTGTAAATTGAATTTGGAGGAAGGGGACAGTTTTAGACAGAGATTGCATCGGTTTATTTTCGGCTTTGCAAGCACAATGTTTTCTTTTAAATTTATTGGAGCGTCGGGGAGGGGTTTGGAGCCTAGGCAGGGTGTGAAACTGATGGGAACTGTGCTGGGCTCTCTCCCCCCACAACAGCCGTGGGGTTCTGCCGGTCCCCTCTCTGGAAATGGGCCCCGGACATCCGGCACAAAGGGAGGCATCAGGCCGCCTGCAAAGAGAAGCCGGCTTGGAGGACTCTCTGGCGAGCCCTCTTGCCCGGGGTCTGCTCGGCCCCTCCGGCCCTCCTCTCTGCCCCGAGCCCTGGCTGGGGGTGCTGAGCCCCCCCTTGGGGCAGCTTGCTCTCTTTGCAAAGAGCCTGTACATTGCTAGAACCGGAAAAGCCAATGTGAAAAGTAATTATTGTTTTAATAAAAAAGTGAGAATAACCGATGGTTGTTTGGCAGAGACTTTTGTGGGGGAGCTGAGGGGCACCCCCAAAAACGGGGGTGCCAGGGGGCGGCTGGTTGGAGTGGCTTTTAAGGGCGACACACCATCCGTCGCTCCGCTGAAGTGGGCCTCTTGCTCCAGCCCACGTTAGCATTTGGTTGGGGGATATTTTTATCATCTTAGAATATCCACAACTTTCACTCACCTGTGCTTCTTAAGTCACTTCCCCCTGATCAAGGCAGGCGGGGTGGGGGGTGGGGGCGATGGAAGCACGGGGGAGGAGGAGGGGGTGCTGCTTTGAACCCCATCTCTCAGTCCTGGGCGTGGCAGGCTGGCATTTTCAACAGCGCCATCCGGCCGAGGGTTTAATTACACCCACGCTGGGAACACCACCTTAATCAACAGAGCAGGAGAATTGTGCAGAAATGCGACGGTTGTTTTGATGTTCCCGGAAGTGTGCATGTCACACTTTTTGCTTTCTGAGGAGCCGAAAACCAGCCAGGGCAGGGCAAGGGAGCTGCCCCGGCTGCCCCAGGCCTGGGGTTTCCAAGAGACGGGATGAGGATAATGCCACCGGGAGGGTGTTGCTGGGCCAAGGGGGAGGTGAATGATGGGCTTTTTTCTTCTCTCCCCACAATCATCCACACCAGCTTTTCGCAAGGCTTCCTCCACTGCCCTGAGCGCAGCCTGGCTCCCCACTGGGATCTCGCTGTAAATCTGGGGCTGCTAGAAGGAAAAGAGGAAATTTGACCCTGTCTGAGAGGGACGAGAAGGGCCTATATCCGTGATGGTGAACCTATGGCACACGTGCCCAAAAGTGGCACGCAAAGCCACGCGGCCTCGCTTGTTTGTCTTCCGGGTTTCTGGCACGCATGCATGTACGACGATCAGCTGTCCTTTGCATGCGCGGCAGTGCTGGAAACCGGTGTGCGCATGGAAGGCCACATGCGTGCTAGAACCTGGAAAGTCGGCTTTTCTGGAGCCTGTCCCCAATGAGTGCGTGTGTGACATTTCCACGCGACATTTTTGACACTCAGTGCTGAAAAGGTTCACCATATATACCTATGTAATCAACATGGTAGTGGCAAAAATCTCTCCTTTTTTTCCATTTTCCCTTTGCAAAACTCAGCCTTCCTGGCGCTTCGGTCTCTACCAAGCCAAGAGGGCTGGAGGAACTCTTCCTCCCTCGTGCCACTGCCCAGATGCCCCTCCTGGGTTTCAACCCGCTCAGCGGGTAGGCTGTGGTGTCCCGTGATGGGGGGGGGGCTTTCATGGAGCTGCCCAAACACACACTGGCTGCCCAGGGACCCCCCAACTCGGGCTCTGCCTTTCTGCCGCTGCCACCCCAGGAACCAGGGAGTGCCCGGGATTGGGTGGCTTCGGAAACAGGGCGTTGGGAGGTGAGGAAGAAAGAATGCGGCTGGTGAAGCTCTCGGGAGGGTGTGTCGAATTTATAACACAGATCCGAGCGGCTTCTGGGCAGCTTTCCCTGCTGGGGCCCAGAGAGGATGGCGGAGGGTTGCAAGCTCCAGCTGTTCGTCAAGGTAAGAGCCGCCCTGCCTTCCCTCTGCTGCTTGGGCTGGGATGCTCCGGACGGGACCTCGGCTGGCCTGGCCAAAGTCACCGATTGGAGACCTGGAGGAAGAGCCTCCAGGCGGTCCCATCTGCTAAGCGAGTTGCCGGAGAGCCCCGTAAGCTGAAGGGCAGAGTGGATGGGCCTCTCCTGACCCCCTGCAGCCTCTGGCTTTGGAGTGGGCTGTGTCTGGAGGGGCCCCTCCCGTACTCCTAGCCTCTGGTTCCTTTCCAGCTGGGTCCAGCTGGCCACTGAGGCCGTTTGTGTGTGTGTGTGTGTGTGCGCGCGTGCATCCTGCAGGGAGGGGCTGGGAAATCCTGAGTGCGCCTTCTCTTTCCATGAATGGGCTGCAACAGTCCTGTTTCCCCCACTTGGAGCCGAAGGGATCTTTTTGCATGCAGCTGTGTTCCAAGAGAGGACGACTTTGCCCGAATCCATTTCGCAAAATGAAACTGCCAAATCCTTGCCCCAAGGCACCTGTCCTGGCAGAGGGAGCCTCTCTTGGCCAACCTGAAACGCTGCCTTGGTTTTGGATTAAGCCGGGGAACAACCTGATCCCGGCCGAGAGCTGGGATGGGGGCAGGGCTCCCTGGTCTTCTGCCCGCTCGGCACAAGGGGGCTGGTTAGGCGGGGCTGAGAGCACCCATGTCCCCCCTGAAAGGCACGTCAGGCTTTGGTGCCGGCGAGGCTGAATGAAACGGCGTCCGAATCGTTTTCCCATCAACGCCTGCGCTGATCCAAAAATACCTCTTGTCTACGAGGAAGGAATTGACAAGCGTTGAAACCGGACTGAAATCCCGGGGAGTTTTGACAGCGGAGCGAAAGGCTTAAAGGCGTGTTTCTGCCGCTGACCCACTTCACTGGCGCAGTCCTGGGAGGGAGGATGGGATTTGTAGTGCCGTGCATTCGGTGGATGCTGTGTAAGGAAAGGTGGCACGTTGCTTTTAACCCTGGTGTGCCCAAAAGGGCATTGGAGCTCATTTCTCCTGCCAGGATGCCACTCCGGGGCCTCTCTTGACTCCCCCTCCCTGCCCCGTTTAGGCCAGCACGGATGGAGAAACCATAGGGCACTGCCCTTTCTGCCAGCGCCTTTTCATGGTCCTGCTGCTCAAGGGGGCGCCCTTCACGCTGACCACAGTGGACACGAAGAGGTAAGGGCCAAAGGGAAGCCCGGAATCTCGCCTGCTGACAGTTGGCGATGCTGAACCTGCCTCTGGCAGTTCCCCTTTGATCTCCCCCCCCCCCCCCCGAATCCCCTGGCAGGTGATGGGGATTGTTGCCTCACCCACTTGGGGGCCCTGGGGTTAGAAAGGTCTGGTGGTGGGAGGGTGTCTGGGTTTGGGGGTCGCATCTGGAAAAAGAGGGCTCTGTATGATCCAGGCTCCTGGCAACGTCACTTGTGGGGATACACAAAGTGGGGGGGGCACCTCCATTTTCCAGGCTCAGCCCCCTTTTCCCTCCCAGGTCCCTGGATGTCCTGAAAGATTTCGCCCCAGGAGCCCAGCTGCCCGTCCTGCTCTACGACGGTGAGCCCAAAACAGACACCATCAGGATCGAAGAGTTTCTGGAGGAGACCCTGAACCCCCCTGAGTAAGTGGTGGGGGTCCCCATCCAGGGAGGGTGGGGGTGAGTCCAAGGGAAGGGAGAAGCAAGGGCCTCCTGCCTGCTCTCCTCTCTGTCTTCTCAAAGGCAGGGCAGGATCCTGCCCATTGTGCAGATGGAGAAACTGAGGCCAGCAGTCAGCATTCCTCCGTCTTCCCCCACAGGTTCCCCAGCCTGGCGCCCAAGTACAAGGAGTCCACCTTAGCTGGGAATGACATCTTCCACAGGTTCTCCGCCTACATCAAGAACCCGATACCAGCTCAGGACGAAAGTGAGAATGGGGAAGGGGCTTCGGACTGCCACACCCGCTCCTCCCTAGCTAGCAGGAAACCAAGGCCCTTAGCTGAGTCCACTCCTTTGGGGGACTCAGAGGTAGACTGTGTTGAGCCACGGAGGCTCCATTTGAGGCCCGGAGAGCAGCGCGGAGAAGACCCAGCTGCCTTCCTTCCAATGTGCACTCGGGAGACAAAGTGGGGGAGGGCAGTACAGGAAGAGGCGATGTCCCTTCCCTGCAGGGGAGGCAGGCCAGGCACAGACCAAACAGGGGGGGGGGGAATCTTCCCTTGGTCAGCGAGTTGAGTGGCAGCCGATGGAGTGAGGGGCAAAATGGATGTAATCAAGTGGTCAAGCAACAGAGAGACACCTTTGAGCATCTCAAATAGTAAAGGAAAAGCATCTTTCGAAGGGGGCATCTTTAGAAGCTCAGGCCCGACTGAATCTTCGGCTTCCGAAGGAATGGCTGAGTAGCGGATCAAGCCCCCACTTTAGAAGCAGTCTATCTGGGCATCCCTCTGCTGCCGCCTGCCCCAGAGGCTAACTCCTCGGGTGTTTTCCCCACAGCTCTGCTCCACGCCCTCCTCAAAGCCTTCCGTAAGTTGGACCAATTCTTGAACATCCCTCTGGACTACGAGCGGGTCCGAGACCCAGAGCTGGTCATCTCCCGCCGGCGGTTCCTGGATGGGGACCAGATGACCCTGGCCGACTGCAACCTGCTCCCCAAACTCAACATCGTTAATGTGAGAAGCCCCTGAGGGCGGCAGAGCCCCCTTCCTCTCCTCCCCAGGGGGCCCCTCCGGCTGCTCTGGGCACCCTCTTCTGCCGGGCACTTCCTGGGGCCGAATTCCTCTCTGCGTCTCCTCTGGGAGCATCTAACGTATTCAAGGAAGGGCGGGCCTCCCCTCCACCCCACCCTCCGCGGAGCCATAATTATCCCAAAACGCAGCACAAACAAAATTTGGTATCCCCGGAATCTCGACCTTCCAGTTGTTTGGGTTCATCTTGAGAACAAAGTCAGCGGAATAAAAGGACGGCTGGCATTGCCACCCTCGGCTCCAGGAGGCGCTGACTTTGTCTTCCCTCCCTTGCCCTGCAGGTTGCGTGCAAGCACTACCGCCAAGCGGGCATCCCCAGAGAGCTGAGGGGCATCTGGCGCTACCTAGAGTCCGCTGCTGAGACCAAGGAATTCCAGTACACCTGCCCGGACCCCCAGGAGATCATCCAGGCCTACCACGGCGTGGTCAGGCAGACCTAATAGCCTCCTTGGCCCTCCCCCCTGGCTAAAGTTGGGGTCTGGCTGGCAGCCCCCTGGCTCCTCTTCCTTCTCTCTCTGAGCCACCCATAGTGGAAGAAAGCAGGGCAGGTCCAGATGAGCCCCCGTGGGCATGGTCTTTAGGTGGGTCTGGCATCGCCATCTTCCCCTCCCGCCAAGGCAGCGGGTTCTAACGGTTTAGGCCTCTGCCCCTGGGCAGTACTGGCAGTGCCAATGTGCTCTGGTGGTCCCTGGCTAGTCCCTTTCTTCCCTGGGGGGCTCCCCTCGCTTCCTCAGCCTGGAAGAATTGAGGGAGGGCAGTCAGCTCCCTTCACCCCTGCGAAGGTGGCCTGAAGGCCTTGAGGCGGGGCTGGGGGCTTCTTAGCTCATCAGAAATTGTGGGAGACCCTCGCTGGAGCAGCCCTGCACACAATCTGCCTCTCAAGTGTGTGTTTGTGTGTGTATGTGTTTGTGTGTGTGTGAGAGAGAGCATGTCTGCATTTCCACATTCTCTCTTCCCCCATGGCTCTTTTTAAGTGCAGTACCCCCCCCCCCCAAATGTCCAATGCTTTACATGTCTTTCCCCAAAATTAAATATACGCTAATATATCAACAGAGAATTTAGAATCCGTCAATTTTTGTGCTCTAGACAAAGTACTTTCCCTGCAGAATCACCTAGAATTGGAATATTCTCTCCCTGTTGTCCAAACTGCCCCCCATCCGGAGAATTTACTCCCACTGGTCTAGATTTTTGTCCCCCCCCCCCTCCAAAGAATTTGGCCCAGAAAGAACAAACTGGAAAGTGAGTAAAATCAAGCATTTTATTGTCTCCTCCTTTCTATTATAATACATATAAAAATATACTTGGTGTAGTTTTAAGCCTTAAATAATGTTAAAAATCTCCATGCTGAAGTAGTTCTTTCCCATTTGATTTGGAAAACGGTTCAGGCGTCTTCGAAGTCCACCCCCGTCGGGGTCTTCTTGCTAGAGCGAGAGGGAAGCCCCTTATGAGCATCCTTTACGCCTTCAAACACCCCTCCCCGCTTCCGCCCCCCTCCCTGGCACTGCCATCCTCAGGAAGAGTGGGCGCTGACTGGCAGGGAGAAGGAAGCTGCTGGGGGCCGCTGAGAGGTGGTGGATTTGCACACCTGTCAGGCCCTAATGGTTGGGAGCGATAGGGATTCAAGCCCAACATCTGGCGGGAGGAAGGAGGGAGAGAGGTTTCTCCCATCCCATCATCCGCCTGACCCAAACTCTGCTCGAAGCCCAATCTCAGCTCTGCCACAAAGAGGGACGAGGACCAAAAGCAGAGCTGAGGATCACACAGAGCTGTCTG